TCGAATTCCTATAATATTAAATGTTTTATATCATATATAGAGTTTTTGGTGTAAATATACTGTACATTTTTAAAAACAATTTATAGAGAAAAAAGTTGTAATTCAAGGGCACGAAAAGGGGTAAATCAAAAGTATTTCGCTAGCGTAGTAATTCTCCCTCTATTAACTTCTTTAGTGACAAAAGTGATATAATTAGTGATAATTGAGACTGGTTAATTTAAGGCCATGTTCAGAGGTTGGGGGGGGGGGGGGAGAGGGGGGGGGAAGGGGNNCGTCATTGTGAAACCTCGTCCATTTTCAAAAAGTCCCTTAAAACTCATCTGTTTAGGTCCGCCTATGACCTGTGATGCACCCTCCTTGCCCTGCCTCATTTTCTGTTTCGGGTTGATCCTGAAGTGTCAAAGTGTCCTCGTTTTATAGCCATTTTCATTGTTTCTATAGTATAGTACTTACTATCCTAGTGTCTCATTTTTATTTACTTAGTTTACATGTTTTTAATAATTGTAAAACGCTTAGAGCTTTATGGTAAGCGCTATATAAAAATGCCTAAATAAATTAATATCATTACATTTTTAAAGTTATGAATTGTGATGAGTTTTTGTAATAGCAGTTAGAAATTATCGCAAAGGTTATATCATTATTATCCCGATAATATCGGTTTATTTATTCTAGTATATAAGAAACATCAGAGAATAATTTTTTTAACTTAAATATACTCTGTCAACAAAATAGATTTTAACATATAGTTTCATTTGCTCCGTTTAAGAAGAGATTGTAGATTTCCAGAAGCATCATAACTAACAATCCACAGTATAGAAAACTTTAACTCATTTGTTAATTTAAATATGAAATAAGTACCTAGACTACGAAAGCTAATACCACTGAGTGACAAGGTCAAATATAAAAATCATTGTCAAGAGACATGAGGTTGCATTTTCAGAGTTTATCAATGACAGCACGCTGTCTAAGCTACGTCACCTTCAGCTGGTAAGGAAGATGGACTCACACGATTACAAAATTGTCCTAATTTAAATAAAAGATTGATGGGATGGAGTAAAGAATGAAATGTTCTAGGAGGATGTTGTGATTATATTTAGGATTTATCGACATGGGGCTTTCGAGAGTTAAGGAGTTAATGGTAGGTAGAGGCGATGAAGGGAGTGTATGGTGGGCTTGTGAGATGAAGGAGTGCATGTTTGGCTGAGATGTAGGAGTATATATATTAGGATGTAGAATAGTTATGCTCTCATTATAATAGGTAGTTTATGGTTTATGGTTGGCTAAGAAGATGGAGGGGATTTTATCGCGCACAGCTATTGGATTTAACGCATTTTTTTGTTGTAACACAAGGCTGTTCATAAAATCAATGCGTAAATAAAGACTGAAAAACGGACTAGAAAAGCAAAACGCCTTCTGAGCTAGTGAAAATAACAATAAACCATTTATTTATGATATAGAGAAATATTTTTTTTTTAAATATACGAACGTAGCTATATTTACTTTCAATGTCTGACATAAGGCCATAAGGATGGACTAAAGTGCTTTTGAATTATTCAAGGGCCGAGTAGAAAAAGTAAGTAAGAGTAGAATAGAAGTTTTGAGAAAAATGAGTTTAATATTTTTACATTCTTATTTAAATACCTCTGGCCCTGTCCTCTGTCCCCATTTTTACGTAGACGAGGGACGAAAGGTAGAAGAACATGATTCTTCTAGACGCTTGGTGACTTGTATTGTGTGATTGAGATAATTGAAACAAACACTCCGAAATAAGTTTAATTGAAGGCCAGAATAATATGGAGAGAGCAGACGTTTTACCCGTGAAAACAAGTTAATAACATAAATTTAGAAAAAAGAAAACTTTTTTTTTATCAAACACGCGTAAAATCCCATTAAAAATTAGAACATAATTTTAAAATTTCTCAAAATGAACAACGCCAATATTGGACGAAAAAAGCAAATGATAAGCTGATTGGATGCTTTCGATACTGAACGAGTTAAGTGCCAACGCTGCTTTACCATCAAATTACTGAATTAGCCAGACGTGGATGCAACTCCTCGTTACTGGATTGGCATGATACTTATGTACTGATTTGGAACTGAACGAGGCTAATACATTAAAAACGTATAAGATCCACATCATTAAAATGATAGAAGCAATTAAACAATTTACAGTTCCTCGGATAAAATTATAATATGAAAGATTGAGAAAACTGAGCACGGTCAGCTACAAAATTACGTTTTTTCCTTACGTTGCTGCAAAGCTCAAGGGCATCTGATTTTACAAATTACAAGATCCATGCGCTAGAATGTTACGGCACAAAAGTAAATTGCACCGGCCTTAATTTAAAATTAGCTTTCAAAGAATACGGTTAGAATTAAATAGAAAATGTGGCATTCTTTTTTAAAAATCCTAAATTAACCAAAATGTTGGAAAATTATTTTTTATCTGTGTTCTCATGTAAAGTTTTTGAGAAGCAGTGAAATACACTGATCTACACACTGTGCGTCTATCGAGCTTGTGTCATCAGTACACTACTATACGGGAGCGAGACATGGACCACCTATACATCCCAAGAGCGCAAGCTTAATAGCTTCCATATGAGATGCTTGCGTCGCATCCTTGGTCTTAAATGGCAAGAAAAAGTGACTAATAGTGAGGTCCTAAAGCGTGCGAATACCCAAAGCATGTTCACAATCCTTAGTGAAAGACGCCTGAGGTGGCTAGGTCATGTTAAAAGAATGAGTCCCGGCCGCATTCCGAAAGACCTCCTATATGGTGAACTTGCTTCGGGAAAGAGGAAAACAGGTCGCCCACGTCTGCGATTTAAAGATGTCTGTCAAAGGGACATGAAAGCAGCCAAAATACATACAAGTGACACTACGTGGCGCACAGTTGTCAAAGAGGGCGTCATGGTAGCCGAGGAGCGAAGAATGGAAGAGGCTGCAGACAGAAGAGCTAGGAGAAAGGCCAAAACATTTAGAAGCACGGAACTCGTGTGTAAAAACTGTGGTAAAGACTGTCACTCAAGGATAGGACTGCACAGCCACTCGAGAAAATGCAACCCAACCAAACAGTGATGCACCATCGTCTCACGAGACGGAAGGATGCCGATACACATTGTCTGCAGTCCACTGTCTACTGCACACTGACTGTTGTGCTCCATCTGCGGCACACTGTCTTCGGCACTCATCTGAGACACTTTTTTTCTGTGGAATGGCACTGTAATGGGACAGTGTGTCCGGGTTACTCTATATAAGCGGCATTCAGTCAATGGAAACGTATATCCCCCCTCTCTCTGCGGTATTATATGGCTCAATGTCCTACCACTCTCTTTCGTGGTGGTCTGTTACGCTAACTCCGTTGGGCTCAGTCTGTGGCACTATGTCTGTGACCCCGGTACCATATTTTGTCCAGACCGTGTTCTCTTTGCACAACATGATGACTTGCACTGACATTTTCTTCTACTAATGGATTAAAACACGGGTTTTAAAAGAATAGATATTAAAATATCATTTCCATTTTTTCTCATTTCTCCAGTCAGAGGCGTAGTTAGAATTTTAGCCTTTCAGGGGCAAAGAAATGTTGAAACAGTTAATTTTGTCAAAATAAATACACTGATCCTTTCAAAATTACCTCTGTATCATCTTAAATTTACTACCGCCAGCCAATGACTGCCGAGCACCACCACCCCCCCCCCTTTTTTCCACACACATCCACACATTTTAAGCCCCAACTGAATGTACTCCTATATTCATTCCTGGAAAGGTTTAACATTTTAAAAAATGGTAATAAAAAAACTATGTCATTTAAACATGCAGGTGGTTGGAGCGATTTGTGTATTGATCAGATCGATCAGATCCAGTAGTTCTGCAACTTTGTCTGCGACCTTGGCATGACATAAATAAATATAGATTTGATATTGATTTCTGGGTTCAATCGTAGATAAGATGTAAGCCAGACGGTGTTCGATTTGTTTAGTGTAGGTGTGTTTCTTTTATTTGGTTAGGGCGCTATCTACTATTTAATTTTTAAATTAATTTTTTTGTGGTTTTTTTTAAACAATGAAATGGGGACGAACGTGAAAGGGTTAAGTGGACCCAACAAAAATTATTTTATCATTTTTATGAATTAAATAAAGATGATTATCAATATTATAAACTGTAAGAAATAATTATGTGACAAAACTTTCTAAAGTAAACCGTTGTAGTTAAAGTTCTTAAGGGGTGATATTCTATGGTATATCTCATATGACACCGCGGCAATAACCAATACAATTACCTTTTGTTTGATTCGATGATCCATAGATAGTGCAATGTTGCATTGAAAAACTTTATCTTATTTTTTTTTTTATTTAAGTTTCATTCGCCTAATGCAGAGTTTAGACTCCACGGAATGTATCTATTAATAGATTAGGTTTAATTGTTATTGAGATTATCCATTCTTTTTTTTCACCATCAGATAATTTCTGAACAAAATTGTCTAATTCGCGAAAGAAATAATCTAAAATAATTCATGCTCTAGTTGCGTTATTTAAAATTGTGCAAAACGAAATTTGGACAGACAGCCAAGGCGTGCTGGCAGTAAGACCAGGAAGTAATTAGATTTTTTGAAATAATAAGAGGTTCTCAATATATTTTTTTTTTAAATTGAAGAAACTAGAGTTGAATTAAATTCAAAGCTACGACAATCAAAAACAAATTAAAAGATTGAAAAAAAAAACATAATTTAATTTGGAAGGGAAAATTACAAAAGGCAAACACAAATTGCATGCATTCACTAGATTATATAATCAATTACCATCAAAGACAAAATCTTAAAATAAAAGTGACATCAATGAGTCAAGCACAACACAACATAATATATTCAAATATTCTCTAAAGACAACTGACACATATAAAGCATTTTATTAATTTTAAAAATACTTTAATTTCTCAGCATGCAACCCAATTTGAGGACCGCTGTTGTACCTTATATTTTTGTACCATGAGACTGTATCTGCGTGTCAGTCCTGCAAATGTCCCCCCGTCAACTTATTACCTGGAACCTAGCGGCAGATCTGACGTGTGCAGGCCTACATCCGTGATGACAGGTCAACACAACCCTGGTGAAGGTTTAACTGGACATGGCTGGGCAATCTAACGTGAGTACATGTGGCCGATGTTTAGTTCAAGCTGCAGGTGAATCCAAACATTTTTTTTTTGAAAATTTAAGTCTATAATGTGTCAGAAGGTCGAACAAATATTTTAGATAACAAAAAGTGATCACCAGAATTTCAAAGCATGCCCTTGAAGTGTCACACAACACTATGTCTTCCGATTTCACTATACCAATTGTATTGTGTGCGTGTTTTTAATGCCCTACTCTGGTGGGGTTAAAGGTTAAACTATTCACTGGCGTAGGAAAAGTGGGGCGGAGGGTGTGGGCCGTCCTGGGCGGCACTTTTTTTCTTTATTTTTACAGGGGAGGCATTTTTTAGCCAGCGGCAGAGTTTTGCTATTAGGGGAGGCGTCAAAACATGCTGACCAGCACTGGCCGGCACTTGCCCCCAGCTGCGCCACTGGCACCATTAAAATCTTATGCGTCTTTGCTTGATAAGTTTTGCATATAGAAAATTTTGTCAACATACAAATGTTTAAATGACTACTTACAATTCAGACTCTACGATAATTATCTACAATTATCCAGTGGCTGCACTTCGTCCATAGCATTACATGTCACATGTCACTAACGGGTTTTAATTCTTTGAAACTTAATTTTTAAGACGATTTACCTCAAAATTTATTTTAAAATTCAAATCTCCGAGACCTAGAGAGCTGAATGTGTGGACATAGCTCAGCGCTTCGGCGCTATCCTCAGCGCTCAATTCAACAAAATGATATTTGGTGCTCGCATTTATTTCGTCAAATATATATATATATATATATATATATATATATAAAACCTTATAGAGAGAACCTGAGGAGTTCTGGGTGTGTTTTTTTGCAATTTTTTTTTTTTTTTAAAGTAGAGTGCCCCTTATCTCATGGTATAAGACCCTTTGATTATCCTGAGTTGAATCCTGTCAGCGTTGTTCCCATTTGTGTCCTACCTCTGGTCTCCCGGTGGAAGTCACAATTTCATTTTGTTTTTCATATTGATTAGCAATACGTCTATTTGATTAGCGTCTACAATTTAGGGCTCTATATGACTCGATTGATCTACCATACATTGTATTATCCTGACGAATATTTTCTGTTCTATATTATCCTAAAATTAACAAGGGGTGTGTATTTTTTATTTTGATATTTATTTTTTGGGATAGACGAGGGAAGTTGTTGGGCTGTCTGCCAAATGTAGGAGTTTCAAATGATGCATCTCAGAAATGTTAAAACAGATTTTATTGCAAAAAATGTAAAAAAAAGTTCCCTTGTATATCTATTTAAAGGATTTTGAAAGGACCCCTCTTTAAAGGAAAACTTTGTCATGCATATGCCACTTTCTTCTGGGCATGTAGCCCATTTTTTTTAAAGATCAAAAAATTTAAATTTACGACATTTTAAACGATTTGTCATTAGACAACTTTTAAAAGTTTCATTTCAGCCTTTCAATGAAAATTGTGTACAGTTCTCTTCCCCTTTATCGCTGTAAAGTTGTTTTATTTAAAAAATGCATTTTTTAATCAAAGTTGTTTTTTTTAGCTTTTTTTTATGGTTTACAGCTTCAAAAAATACATTTTTACTTTCTAGATCAGTCCTTACTGAAGGCGCATTCAAATTCAAGGGAAAAACCAGTGATGTCAGTTTTTTTCGAAATTTGCAAGTTATCTCCCGTGTGGCTACTTTCCATTCAATAGAATAATATGACACATGGGCCCAACTGAAAAAGCAGCGTAGTCAATAAATAAATATTTTGATTTTTTTTTTTTTTACTTTCATGAGTAATTTTCATACTATATTATCAATTTTTCTCAAAACTCTCAAATCCTGAAATCACTGGTTTTTTCCCCTTGAACCCTTCATGTATAACGATACATTTTCTCAGCGAGCTGGCGCCACTCAAACAAAAAAACAAAAAAATTTTCTCCCCGCAAAGTAATTTTCGCCGGCTCATTTAGAATACCTACTTTCAGTGTTAATTTTTGCACATTTTGGACCTGACCATGCACAAAGCTCCTCAACCAAATTAAAACTATTTAACTCCAGGGCCCTCCAATCGAGTTTTACAATTTTAAAGCTTACCTTATTATTTGTCAAAATGGTTTTTAATAAGGCTCTTCTTTGACGATCCTGCTATTTTCGTCCACATAAATCTGCCACAGCACGACCCGATATTTCTTTATCATTCAACGCCACCGTCAAGTTGTGCTGTATCATGGGTTTACCCACATTATGCCCTAGGTGATTAATTCTACATAGCTAAGCCGGGTACTACAAGCATACCCATAAAAGCTGAGGTTTACAACCCGGAACATACCCGGACCTGACCAAAAAATGAACCGGGTCAGGGTGTTTAAAAAGATATTGGGTCATTCTTACAACTTACTTCTTGGCATATTTCACCTGAATTAAATAAATAAGAAGAAGAAAACTCACCAGCGACTGAGGCGAAGCTAAGTGTAAGCTAACGAAAAATTCGAAGATCAGAAAAATAATAATGTACTTTTTGCTAATTGTGTATGAATATGTATCTAAGCAAGATGCATCGCTTTGATTAGCTCATGACACTTCATGTTTAAATTATTCATTTGTCCTGTCTGCTGAGGAAGGCTCTTAGCTGAAACGTTCCTAAAATATTTACGTATCTCAGTGTTCTTGCCCAATTTAGGTTTTCCTCAGACGCCATTTATCAAATTCTCACATTTACGCATGGAAATACAAAAACCATTTATTTCTTTTTGATATTTAATAAACGGTAGGGTACAATTTTTTTTAATATGTATATGAAGATCGTAGGTCACTCAGAGGCAATTTGTCGGAGCATCTGAAATCAATATATGAAATCAATATATGCCATGTCCTGTCTCACTGGATTGAAAGTGCAAAAAAAAAATGAAAATCGGGCAGTACTTTCGGGACGTCCCTGCGACGACATACTCGTCTATACATCAATTGATTTTTACTTAGGGTGGAGGCATGTCAGAACCTATTTGTACGTACATGGGAGGGGCGGAGTTGGTAGAAATTAGACTTTTGTCGTACGCTATAAGTGGCTCGTCCACTACTAGATGAATGCATGCAGTTGTCATTTTGCACCAGTGTGGCCGGAATAAGTTTCTTATTATCTACAGATAGCTCTTAAATTGTAATACCCGGGTCCGATACGCCCCTAAAAATATCTTCATCCGGCTCGGCCCGAATTCACCTCCTAAATAATTATAATTCAGTATCTCTGACAAATGAGATCTTATTGGATAAAATAATTCGACTTAAAGAATTTGACTCAGTTGGCAATATAAAAAGGAATGTAGTCCACTTACCCGGTTTCATCAAAAGGGGGCCATTTGTTTTAATATGCATGGTATAAATCGTTTATTTACTCTAAAAGTCTAAAGGGAAATGTATGTGTAAACAACCCCTGCAAACAAAAGTTTATCTAATAAATCCTTGATATGTATTTTTTTTAATATGAAAATTCTATTATCCCATCCGTTTTTCCATCGCATATTTATTTCAACTACTATGTCAGGAAGACAAAAGAAAACATTACGCACCATGCACACCTGAGATTGTTTTTGTCACGAATCTCATTTAGCGCAGTTATCGGGAATTTCATTTCGTGAAATCATGGGCATCCGATAGCGTTAAGGCAGATTTTTTTTATGGCCTGGGGATGGGGCTGAAAATTTGATCGAATGTGTGTCATCGGCAACGAGTCCATGTGCCAAGTTTCATTTGATAGGATGTCTGGGAGTGGGTCGATTAGCCGTCCGAAGATATCGCATTAAATATCCACACGAACAGAAGCGAAGCTGGTATAAATGATTAAGAGGCACTGTTCAGGTTGATGTTGTCTCCGTTGAGAATGGTTTATTGCCTTGTATTCGTTGGGCACCGAAAGTTTTGTTTTAATGTGCGCGGTTTGTTTTGTGCGCTAGTTCGGTTTAGTGAACGCTCATTGGCGCCAAGAGGCGTTTGACGTACTGTGGCGAGATTGTTTTTATGTAGCTTGTAACGTTGTTCATAGTGTCTGCCTTTTGAATAAGTGCTATTCGTTCGCCGGTTGAAGTCTGAGTCAATGCATTGAGTGAGAAGGTTGTATGTTGTTGTTTTGGTTTTTTCTCAATCTCGAACTGCGCTCTTCGTTGTATTTGAATTGTTCAACAACCAAATAAGAGAGAAAAATGGATTAATTTTTTTTTTCTAGCTATAGGACTTGTGCTCAGTTAATAAAACTAAGATGTGTGAACACGTGAACGAATTTGACGTATAAAAACGATTCTTACGGATTACGACGGACACTTTTGAAAGCAACAAAGAGTTAAAACAGTTAACTTATGGGAAGTAGTAGATAAAATTCTACGTCTCACGCACATATAAAGCTACAATATTGCAACGAAATTTTTAATAGAAATATGAAACCGAATATTGCTTTTTTTTTAAAACATGCAGGAATAAAGTCAAGATGCTCAACGTAGTAAAGTGAAATTCGGTCACAGTCGGTACTTTGCGGAGGTTTTCCAGTAAATTTCGGTCGAAATTGAATTATATGGTATTTTTTTAGGGCATAGTTGAAGCTTCGAAAGTAAATTTTAAAATTAATAAATGTAATGTAATTCGTTCAATTGTTCATTCTAGACTTTCATCGCAGAAACTTATTTGTCAGCAAAAAAATATAATTTGAATTTGTAGGAGAAAAAAATTGGTTTATATATTTAATTAAAAAAATAATTGGTTTAGGTGACGACTATAAATCATTTTGAATAGCATTCAGTAGCCATGCCAAGGCTACAAGGTCAACGCACTCATCATGATAAACAATTAAGACGGCCTATAAAAAATATGAAAATTTAAGCGCAACTTCCGGTGAATTTCTTTAGCTGCACAATAATTGGTGTTTATCAAACAAGAAGACAGTCTTGTTGTAAATGATAAATGTGAGCGACGAATCCGCTAATAACCCACACGCAGAATTTGTGTGGGCGAGTATGTAAGTGTGTGTGGGGGGGAGGGGGCGTGGTTGGCGTCTGAACATCAGAAAAGCTAAGACCGAGATCGGAAAGAGGACGTTGTATTATAGGGTGGGTAAAGGGAAGGGCAAGGCGTAGATTTGGCGAGTAAAGGGAAGGGCAAGTCGTAGATTTGGTGAGTAAAGGGAAGGGCAAGTCGTAGATTTGGCGAGTAAAGGGAAGGGCAAGTCGTAGATTTGGTGAGTAAAGGGAAGGGCAAGTCGTAGATTTGGTGAGTAAAGGGAAGGGCAAGTCGTAGATTTGGTGAGTAAAGGGAAGGGCAAGTCGTAGATTTGGCGAGTAAAGGGAAGGGCAAGTCGTAGATTTGGCGAGTAAGGGGAAGGGCAAGTCGTAGATTTGGTGAGTAAGGGGAAGGGCAAGTCGTAGATTTGGTGAGTAAAGGGAAGGGAAAGTTGTGGATTAGGGCGTTGAAAAGAAAGAAAAGTTGGAGATTTGGGGTTGAAGGGAAGGGAAAGTTGTGGTTTAGGGAAGTGATGGGTGAAGGGAAGGGAAAGTTGTAGAATTGTTGATAATCACTGCTTTCGGCAATCAGGTAAAAGCGTAATGAAGAAGAAAGGTTATGTTTTAAAGTTGATGGAGGCCTGTGAACATTTTAGATTAGGGTAGGTGAGGGGCAGGCGTTGATGTATGAGAGAGAGAGAGGGGTAGAGAGAGAGAGAGAGAGAGAGAGAGAGAGAATGTAGAGAGAGAGAGAGAGAGAGAAATCAGAAGATAGAGGAAGAATCTAGATTAGAAGAAAACAATGTATACCCAGTCGACATATACAGAAATAAAAGGGGAGGTGAGGGGGAGGCGTGGATGTATGAGAGAGAGAGAGGGGGAGAGAGAGAGAGAGAGAGAGAGAGAGAGAGAGAGAATGTAGAGAGAGAGAGAGAGAGAGAGAAATCAGAAGATAGAGGAAGAATCTAGATTAGAAGAAACCAATGTATACCCAGTCGACTTATACCGAAATAAATCATGAAAGTGCACTACTGTATTTACAGTTTATTTTCACATTAAGTCACAGTACACATGTTTATCATTCAGTGCGAATGGGGACCATTAAAAACATGCTAATTTCCACTCTTAGAGACAATTGCAAGACGGAGCAATCGCTGCTTTAATTGGTGGTCTACATAACACGGGGGCTGTTGCTAGACTTATACAGAGTGTACACAGGTTACCGCCTATTTCCCCGGGCAGGAGAAGTCCACAAGATTTCCCGCAAAATCCGATGCCACCTGATCCAAGTAAGTCCTATATTCATAGATTGACGTAACTTCTTAATCCGTGCACCCAGGAGACGTGGTATATTCATTGAGCTGAGTCAGTCCTATATCCATGAATCTATGTAAGTCATATATCTGTAGAGACAAACAAAGTCACGTATCAAAATATCCAAGTAGATACGGTATCAGTAGATCACAATAATTCCAATATAAATAGATCTCAGTAAGTCGTATTGCCATGATGTATCAGATTAATGCCATATATAAAAGAGATGACGATGAGCATGTTTCTTTTAGTAATTTTTTTAAAAAATTGTATTAAGTTTATTATTATCAATGCAGTTGATTGGGGGATTGTGCCTGGGGGGAGAGGGGGGTATGATCGATATGATGTAAAGGTCACTTGAGTATTTGAATCAATCTTTGATCAAAGCTTTTATTATTACAGTTGATTGTTTAATCTATTTTTTTTTAAATTATCATCATTTTAGTTGGTCCAAGAGATCCCCAACACATATTCATCAGCTACTGTCACGCAGACAAAGAAATAGTTTTAAGACTGTACAAAAGTCTGAAGGTAAATTTATGATTAAGTCATCTCATATGTGCAACGGGTCAGATGGCTACACTAAAATGTTAAACACAGTGTCTATGCTTGGGTGGGAAAACCTTACTGTAATATTGTTTTATTTGCATGTCTTTATCTTATTCAATCATAATAATGTTTCCAAATTTATTAATATGCCAATTTTTGTACATCTTGAATCTTTACATAATGCCCAAAGTCTATTTCGGAATGACAAAATGACAAGTTATCCCAGTGTTCAGGCTGAGGTGGCTTTATAGTTTCTAATAAATCTGATCCACCAAACCCGATAAAGCCACGGTGTGGTGGACAAATGTTTGAAAATGATTCGAGGAAACTCAGGCAATCGACTACCTTCCAAGACGACAAAAAAGGGAAGAGGTGTGCCTTAATATATATCCTACAATAAATAAGGCATAGAATCTATTTAACTCAAGGTGGTTGCTGATGGACCCATCCAGTTGGTGTCAGTCCGTCAGTGACACCAACTGGATGGGTCCGTCAGTGACACCAGCTGGATGGGTCCGTCAGTGACACCTAAACTGAATTGTAACCAGGAGATTTGGGAACGCGTAATCCGTAAAGCGGTTGTTTTTTTTTTTCCCTTGTCCTTGCAAAACATCTCAGGATTTCATCATGTTGCCAAAATAATGAAAACGATATCTAGTTTTTTTATAATTTTTTTTCCCTTTTCTCGTGTTAATTTTGTTACCTGGAGCAACGAAAATGTATACAAAGGGGGGGGGCGCTGAGGGCGGTAATCCACCCCAACTCGGTCTGGAAGCAGCTGCTTTGACCAAAACGGCAGCCATTAACAGAACCCCGATCAATGGCTAGAAAGCATACCAGACACATATCTCGGCATCAAAACTGGCAGGTAGACCACCTTATTACCACGTTGTCTATTCAGAAGGGCAGACAGCATTTAACCCAGAAGACTATAGACTATATAAACAAAGGCAAGCAAAGCCAAATCTGTGTTGGAAAAATGAATCAAACGGCACACTTTCGTGACCCACGTACGAACGTACCACTGCTGGGTGTAATTCCACTTCGTCAGGGACCCAAACTTTCGGCATTGTGCACTAGCCCAGAAACATTGTAACATAAATCCACCCCACCTAAAAAATTACCTAAAGTAGGCTATGATGACAAGCCATTTCTACTCACAGATGTTTTACATGACACAGCTGTAGAGATAGCTGTTGCTTACGTGATATCCGGGTCCTCAAAGATGGAATACGGTCGTTTTCCTTGGAAGTATTCCCACTTGTAATAGTGTCTATGTACGGACGAGATCAGTATATGTGAAGACTTATCAGCAAATGAGTATGCATTAAATAAATTTAAAAGATTTTTCGTATACATCTATACAAAACACATTATGACTCAGTAGTTATTCAAATGGTTGGGTGGTTTTGTTAGAAACCGTTTCAGAAAAACTATGGCCAAGTCATTTGCTTTATTTATTTTTGTTTATATTTATTCTTCAAATGTATTATGTGCATTTGTTTTTAACTTTATCGCTTAATCTAATCAACAGCTGAAAGGCTACAACATATGGATAGACGAAGAGAATATGGGAGGTAACCTGCTGGACGGAATGGCCCAAGCTGTTTCAGACTCATGGGTTGTCCTCTTGTGCATATCAAGCAAATACCAGGACAGCAAACACTGCCGTACAGGTATTGTGTAGATTACTTTCTTAACACTTGATGTTAACTCTAGTTGCATTGCACCATCTTTCATCATCATCACGTCCCTTAGTCTTTGGACCGTTGGGGCGCCAGAGATGACATGTGAACTATCCTCCTCCATTTGCCTCTGTCATCTGCACTCCGCATAGCATCGCCTAGTTTTATTTCCGTCCACTCCTTGATGTTGTCTTCCAACCTTTTTCTTTGTCTTCCTCTTCTTCTCCCTCCTCTTGAGGTGCCTTGCAAGATTTTTTTTGGTGAGCCTTTGTTTCCTTGTCACGTGACCATACCATTACAGTTTCCGCTTTTTTACAGTCACCATTAGGGCATCGTACTGCCCAATGGCCTGACGAACCCTTTCTTTCACTTGATCATTGGAGATATGATCCCTATAGTAGATGCCAAGGATGCTTCTGAAACATTTCATCTCCAACGCCTTTATTTTCCTTTCAAGTTCAGCTGTTAGTGTCCAGGATTCGCAGGCATACAGGAAAATGGCGAGGACTAAAGAGCGCATCAAACATATTTTGGGTGTGGGTGGCTGAGTGGTCTAAACTGAGCAAATCCCAAGTTGATGATCTGGACTTCACTTCCAGCCAGAGCCCAGTCAAGCAAAAAGATCTCCAGCATCATGGATGGATGGGACCCGTCAACCTTGGATGGCAACTTATCTAAGAGAAGGAAACTCTGAAATCAAACCGGGAGACGTAGTCCCGAAAGGCGGATAACATTGGTACAATGTAACATTCCGACAACTCCTGCAACGTCACTGGTGCCAAGCTGTATCATCCAAATGATGTTCCCTTGGGTTATCCAGCGGCGTGGAGAGAGACGATTTGCAGTTGGGAACCAGCTTATAATCCTTGAAGATTAATCCCAGGCCTTGTGGATTTGGTCCTCCGACGCCCACACCATCTTCTCATTGTGACGGACGGATGCCAGCAAAAAAAAAAATATAATTCTTGAGCCTCTTTAGTGCTGTTTTGGTCTGGGCAATCCTAGACATCAGTTCTGGCTTGGAGCTTCTTCCAATACTACTTCTCCCAGGTATTTGAAGATGTCTACAGTCTCTAGTCTTCCTCCCCAACCTTTATTTCAGTGGCGATGCGGGTGGTGTTATTTGCCATCAGGTTTTTTTCGGCACTGATTTGCATGCCATAGGACGATGAAGTCATGTAGAGATGATTTACCAGGTCGGCTAGCTCTTCTTCGCCCCCAGCCAGTTCGTCAATGTCATCTGCAAAGCGTAGGTTAGTGATTGTTCTGCCACCAAGGCTTACTGCCCTTTCATGCGCTTCCAGAGCATCTGACATAATTCTCTCTAGGAAGATGTTGAAGAGGGTGGGAAAGAGCAAGCAGCCTTTTCGTACTCCAACCGTGGTCTTGAAACATTCTCCGATGTTATTGTTGAAGAAGGCTGCACTGGTGGCCTTATCATAGAGGCTGTATATCACTCAGGTTAGGTTTGTGTTGATGTTTTAGTGCCTCATGGTGGCCCATAAAGCAGCATGTCAAACCCTGTCGAATGCTTTCTTTTAAATCCATATAGACGTGGTATAGGTTTTGTTGGTGTTGAGCATATTTCTCACATTGTATTCGGAGGTTTAGAATCTGCGTAGTAGTGCCACGTCCTTGTCTGAAGCCCGCCTGTTCTTCAGTAATGATTCTATCGGTATATGGTTTTAGTTGGTTCAATACGACTTTCAGCATGACCTTTCTTGGATGGTTTATTAGGCTAATGGTGCGACAGTTGTGGCATAGCTGTAGGTTACCTTTTTTGGGGAGGGCGATGATGAGCGATTGGGCACATGATTTAGGGCCATTCCTTTGTCAGCCATATTTTTTGTTACAAATATTGAATAGGGCACTTATCATTGCTTATCCTCCTTGTTTCACCAACTCGGCAGGGATATTATCCACTCATGTGGCCTTTTCTACTTGGAGTGCTTGGACTGCTGCTTCTACGTCTGCGCGGAGAATAGGGTACTTATCATTGTCTGTTGCTGGAGGGACATTAAGGATCTCCGGGTTTATCTTTATACTTTCATTATAAAGCTCTGAGCAGTATTCAGTCCATATTTTGAGGATATCATTTTCCTCAGTAATTTTGCACCATCTTTACTAATGACAAAACAAAACCATCACTTCGATTACAGTCTTTAGTTGGAAATTTTGTCTCATACACCATGAAAAATTGTCATTGTTTCACTAACTCTTTGTTCTCAATTACAGCTCTTCCAAGTCTCCCTCCTATCGGATACTTATCTCACCCCTCTCAGTCAAACATTAGATTCAATTCACATTTAAAAAGTGGGGGCGTCTAAAGAAAGCACTAGTCACTCGAGAAAACCTGTTCACTACGGTGACCACTGGCCTGGGCATCATGGACCAGCACTGACAACCCGCCGACCGATTAAATTAAATCCTCTCTGATTAGGGAGCTGTTAGTTTTCTGGACCTCTCAACAAACTATGTTCACTGGCCACAGCTACCCACCGACCTAGGTCATCCTAAGATCTGTTATAAAAAGATAATTACGCAACTCACCGGTGAAACTGACCATATTGTTTGATCGTTGCGGTAGTTCCTCATTCTTTCCAACCTCCTTTCTAGAGACCGACGGAATTTCGGTTTCGGCCTCGTAACCAAACACGCCTCGGTCCAAGACTCCGAAGCTTAGAGAAATATGTTTACTCCATCACTTTTTCTATTCAATAATAAACATCTATTGATGCTTTTAAATTATTTTCAGAGGCCGAGCATACGTTTGCTACGAGAAAAGAATATATGATCATTAAATTGCATGAAAAGTTTCAGCCTAGTGGCTGGTTGGCTCCACTCTTCGGCGCAAAAAAGTATTATGACTTCAGTGGAGGAATACCTTATGACAAAATCCTTAAGGTATTAAGATTGTATTAGTGATTTGTGTCCAACTTCTATTTATATAATTGTTAAGACATTTCTCTATTAAAACATTAAATTAAGGTTACTTAACATGTCAATAAATTCAAACAATTCCTTAAAATGCTTTTGGTATGTTCATTTTTTTTCACTTTTTGCATTTATATATTGACTATAACTTAATTTGTTTCAGAAACTTATAGATGAGCTCGAGGCTGTCAAAAAACGAGTAAATAAAGTACCGAAATGTAAGCAACTGAACTTTAGCTCTTTATCATTATCGGTTAATCGAACATTTAGTTTTTCTGAAATAATATTTAAATATATTACTGAGAAAACGACAACATGTTGTTTGCATCATGAATCTCCACCTTTAATAATCATAACAAGAAAAAATGTAATTTAAGCTGTGTACACAATGAAAACGTATTCAAAGATCCTACTTTGTCCAATTATGTTTTGTAATTGAAACCGTTAAAATTATTAGGAAACCAATTCATCAAACTCTAATCTGGTTATGATTATTTTTTTCCACATATTTCAGCAAAGTAAAAAAAAAAAAAGGGAGAATCCTTTCATTCCAGAGAATCTACAGTACGTGATAACATTTCACAAAGTATCCTAAACTAAGCAAATCTTATTTTTTTTTTTTATTAAATAAGATTATTTTTTTCCACATATTTTAGAAAAGTAAAAAAAAAAAAGGGAGAATCCTTTCATTCCAGAGATTCTACAGTACGTGATAACATTTCACAGAGTATCCTAAACTAAGCAAATCTTATTTTTTTTTTTTATTAAATAATTGACATCAGTTTCATTATTGATAGTGACCGCTTAAACTTAGATGCCGATTTTTTTAAAGAAGAAAGAGTTAATGAATTTAATAGTTTTGCAAAGCGACCGGGAATTTTTTGTTATATACATTTTTCAAAGTTTATTTTTGGCACATATAAATCTTTTAAATCTTTGTGAATCAAGGTTTCTTATGAACATAAATGCCTAATTTTATGGGGGGGGGGGTTATGTATTTTGTTTTCAATGTAAAATTAAAGTCATGTTATCTGTTTCCTAAAAACTATTGTTCCGTAAGTTGGCAAAACAAACAACCACAAATGAGTTCAATATTTTTAATATCTCCCCAGTCTATTTATGTTTATATGGCAATTTAAGTCCATTGTTGATCTCATGAAATTGTGTTGGGCTTCCATCATTGGTTTTCTTTAAATGGAATATTGAATTATAACTGTATAAAATTTATATTTTGGGGATACATTGGATGTACATTTGCTAATTTTGTTTTGCATATCTGCCAAAAGGTGGTAACACAGTTCATTCCTAGTATCTTGCCGTACTCTAGTAGACGTACATAACTTATGTGTTCACCTTAAAACATAAGTTATCTAACCACGCACTCTGTGTATAATTATTCAAATATTTCGTAGTTTTTGAATAGCCAAAAATAGTATCAGCGTATGCGACTTTCTATACGGATTTAATCATGTATTGTTGAGTGCTAAATTGGTAAATTTTGTTGTAAAAAAATGTACTAATTTAACAATCGACAAAACATTGTAAAATCCTTGTGTATAAATGTAACAGGATTTAATTGATTACTTTAGAAAGTTTAGTGAGTAACTTTTATTGTAATAACTCAGCAAACATGTATTTATAAGAGTGTTGCACTGCGATAAAGCTTTAATAGACACAAACAATTTATGTAAATAAAACAATATATGTTCAGCTTTAATGATGATTTTAAAAAATACAAATTGTAAACGGTTTGACAAATTAAATTTAGTTTTAAATTCTCATTTTTTTTTATTTTTTTTTTTTGTACTGATGAAGGCATTAGTATGCCGAAACATTTACAGTTTTATTTTGTCGAAACATCATTAAAGCTGAACATATATAATTTTTATTTACAGAAAATTTTTGTTCTTAATTAAATATATCTTTAGTAGTAAATATTTGTTGCAAAATTGAACATTTTTCTTATGAAAAGTTTGCAGAGTATTTTGTTCACATGTATATAATAAACTTGTACACTGACTTAAGACTTAAGACGACGTATTGATAGTTTCTGTTTGGGGCAGAGCGTTTCCTGCTTTAAAATATGTTTATTTTTTTCATGTTACTTCTTTTGTATTTTTTTATAATTGATCACAATGGTGTATAATAATTAAGATTTTTTATTTCATAAAAATGTATGGAAAAATAACTATGGGAATACGATCTACTTAATAGTATTTTAATAATGATGCGTCTATTGTTTGCATTGATTTAAATCTTCATTCCAAAGCAAATGTAGGTCTCTAAACACTAATTTTGATTGATTATTGTTGATTTTTTTTCAGTTGTGATTGTATTTCTAACCCTGACTTAAATGAATTTATAAATTTGTAATCGTTAAATAAATATATTAGTTTTGAGAGTTACAGTTTTTTCTTCCATGAGCATTATTAAGGCAAAAAGAAAAAGAACAGAGTGGATGTTCCTTCTCCATTTCGAATACCATTGTCTACGATCGAGCCACGATTTGGGAGACGCCTAAGCTACTCCACATCATCGGGACGCCAACACCAGCTGTCTTAGCGTCGATGCTGGCTGAGTGATAGCAATACGGTTATTCTGATTCATGTCCTATCACTTGACTGGGGACCATTAATAAATAAGCTCCTTTTATGCTACTGAGGACCACTAAATGAGATGGTATTAGATTACTCGGGACCACTAAATTAGATGTTATCTGATTACTGGGGACCAAAAAATTATATTACTTGGGATCACTAGAGTAAATCGCGTTAGCTTATGAAAATTAATCAATTCAGCATTTGAGCACAACTTTTGTCTACGAGACTCTCCAACGCGTCAGTTCTTCCTGTGATCAATCGACCGTATCGGTATGAAATGTTTACCAGACTACGACCAAACACAGACCGTGTCTGTGCAGGCTACTCTCGCGATCAATGACGCATGACTTGCACATTACACAGCAGGTGAGAGTAAATAAACGATTTGTTCCAAGATTAACACACATCCCTGGACATGAGAGTGGATATTAAAAGTTCCTATTGCAGGTGACACCAGACAAATGTCTTCAAATGTCAGAAACAGACAAAGAAATCCAAGAAATAATGCCTCTAATAAATATGTGAGTTCGCGTGGTTTACTAAACGTTTTGTTTTAAATGTGACTTAGGTTTTAAATGTGACTTAGGTTTTAAATGTGACTTAGGTTTTAAATGTGACTTAGGTTTTAAATGTGACTTAGGTTTTAAATGTGACTTAGGTTTCAAATGTGACTTAGGTTTCAAATGTGACTTAGGTTTCAAATGTGACTTAGGTTTCAAATGTGACTTAGGTTTTAAATGTGACTTAGGTTTCAAATGTGACTTAGGTTTCAAATATAACTTAGGTTTCAAATGTGACTTGGGTTTTAAATGTGACTTAGGTTTCAAATGTGATTTTTGTTGTTTTTTTTTATCTCTGAACGGATCATTTCAACATTTTTTTTTATTTTTTTTTTTTTTTTGGACGTATTTAAAAACAAAAAAAAAA